CTGATGGAAGTCGGGGGGACCACCCCCGAAGAAACCGCCGACCGCCTCGCCGCCGCCCTGGTGGAGGCAGTAGGTAGCTGGGCGGACATCACCCGGCCGACCAAAATGGCCGTCCTCAGGGTCACCGGTCTGGATGACACGGTGACCACTGAGGAAGTGGCGGCCCAACTGGCATCGGTCGGCGGGTGTCCCCCCAGCTCCTTGAAGTTAGGCAACATCAGGCCGAGCTTCTGGGGCGGCGGTTCCGCCCTGGTCAAGTGCCCAGCGACTGCCGCTAAGGCAATCGTAAAGGCAGGACGAGTGGCCATCGGATGGACGATGGCCACCGTCAAAGCGGTGGAGGCCCAGCCACTCAGATGCTATAAGTGTATGATGCTGGGCCACACTCGCGCTCTATGCCCAGCGGAAGCAGAGAACGGGCGTCTCTGCTTCCGCTGCGGCAGTGAAGGGCACAAGTCGGCAGAGTGCGAGGCCCCCTGCAAATGCACCGTGTGTGCAACGACGGGGCGCCCACACTCACACGTGATGGGGGGTGCCAAGTGCACACCCCCGTCGGTGAAGGGCAAAGCCCCGTCGTCGAGCAGAGTGCCTCGCACTCAGCCTCAACCGCACGGCAGCCGCATGGCTGAGGAGGAAGAAATGCAGGTGTCTTAATGCCAAGACACCTGCATTTCGACATTCTACAGACGAACACCAACCACTCTGCCCGCGCACAGGACCTGCTGATGCAGTGCCTGGCAGAGTGGAGAATTGATGTTGCGGTCGTGGCTGAACCCTACTTTGTCCCCCCCCAACCCAGTTGGGCCGGGGACACAGAGGGTTCAGTCGCCATAGTGGTGCCGCCATCGAGCCCGCAACACCTCTCCCTCAGGGAGCGAGGAGCGGGCTACGTGGCGGTGAACTGGGGAGAAGTAGTACTCATTGGAGTCTACTTCTCCCCAAATAGGAACCTCCGCCAGTTCGAGAGGTTCCTGGATGGCCTGGAACCGGTGGTGCAGAGAGCATCACCGGCCCAGGTCATCGTGATGGGGGACCTCAACGCCAAGTGCGCAGCGTGGGGGTCCTCCATCACTGACCTGAAAGGGGCGCTTCTCCGGGACTGGGCCGTCATGATCGGCCTAGTTCCGGAGAACCAAGGCAACGCCAACACGTGCGTGCGCCGACAAGGGGGATCAGTCGTGGACGTTACGTTCGCGACCCCCGGCATCGGTGCACGCATATCGTGTTGGCGTGTCCTTGAGGAGGTGGAGACCCTGTCCGACCATCTATACATCCGGTTCAGGGTCTCCACCGCGCCCCAGGGGTCACAGGCCCGGACGGTGGCGGCAGGACGGCGAGGGGCTGAGGGCTTCCCAAAGT